CAAAATTCTATAATATCATGTTATGTTTATTAACTTATCATTTTATCATGTTATTATATGATTAATTTTTTAATTTAAAATTTATTTAAAATATTACATATATAATATATTTATTTAATATTATATCATAATTATAAATTTATAATTTTACATTAATTTTATTGCTCTTTTATGGGATGTTATCTCCTTTCTTAATTTATTTTGGCTTAATTCAATTTTTAATCTATTAACTATTACCTTGATTTCATTTTAGTCTATAAATTATATTTTATTTCTGAGTGGTCTATTAACTTTCGTCTACTTGATCAAAGATAACGGAAAACTTCCTATTCTGTTGGAGAACAGTTAGTCCTCTAACTATATTTTTTTAATTTTTTAATCCTTAAATTTATATTTGTTATAAAAATAGCATTTATACTTAAAATTATTATTTTTAGGCTATGGTACTAGATTTTTATACTTAAAATTATTATTTCTAAGTGGTTTATTAACTTTCAGGCTTTGATACCAAATTAAAGAAATAAGAAAAATCGTATAAAAATTTAGTGTCAGAGCCTATAAATAATCATTTTAAGTAAAAAAATTATTTTTATAACAAATATAAATTTAAGGACTAAAAGATAAAAAAAATATAGTCAAATGACTAACTGTTCTCTAACAGAATAGGAAGTTTTCCATTATCTTTGACCAATTAGATGAAATTGAAATGAATCTGAAAGTTAATAGAGCACTTAAAAATAAAACATAGTTTCTAGACTAAAATAAAATCAAGGTTATAGTTAATAGACTAAAAATTAAATTAAGCCATTTATTTTTGGAAACATTCCTTTACGGTGAATCCTTCATAGTTTCTATCTGAATTCACTAAAGAGTCCGAATTCGTTCTTATTTAATGAAAATGCTCTTAGTATACCCTTATTCCTACGTCTATAATTTTTTAATAAAAATAATATAAAAAAATGATATAAAAAACTTATTCTTACATCTATCACCGATCCAGTAGTGTACCCTTCACAATCATCTTTCTCGCTCAACTCAGCCTATGCTTGCCTCTCATCAAAATAGTTTATGAATGATGACAATTTTGTAATTTTCGTTTGTTTTTGGGGCATTTGGTTATGAAAACCCTATGAAAAAGGAGAACAGAATCTAGATTAGGCAAAATTGTACCCAGTCAGTGAATCTGTTCTATAAGCAAGTATGGTTAATGAGTTTTTGACCCGCAACCTGTTTAAGATCTATTTTTTGACCCATTTAAGTTCGGGCTAACCCGCCAGAAATTTATATATATATGGTAAGCATAATATTTATTACTTTTTAAGAAGGAAGAAAAAAATAGAAAGTCATGTATTAAAATATTAAAAATAATAATAATAATGCTAACATCCTTTAATGAATTAACATTCACGATTTTTTTTTAAAAAAAAAATTAATGATTAAATCTTTCCAAAACAAATAGAACGGTAGATTCATCACAAAACCCTAATTAGAAGAAAGAAGGGACGCATTGCGAGAGAAGAATGAGTTGGAGGGATGAATCAGATCAGATGATGTTTGCTTTGAATTAGAACTCGATCGCAAGGAAAGAAAGAAGGAACACAGCGCCCCTTCTTTCTCTCTTGCGCTATGTTGTTTTTTCCTCTCCTCGTGATTGAGTCCAAATTCAAAGCAAGTATCATTCAATCTCTGATTCACCCTATCCCTCACCTATTTATCCCTCTAAACTCATTCTTCTACTGAGCTGCGTTAATTCTTTAATTTTTTTTAAATTTGCTGTGTCATTTGCACCACGTGGTTTGTTGCCATTAAGTATTCTTTGATTGTCCATATCCTTTAAATTTGGAGATCATATGGTTTTGAAGATGATGATAAAGTTCTTTGGAGGTCATATAGTTATGATTTTGATCATATAAGTTTCGTTGTTCCACATAAAAAGAAATAGGTTTAATTTCCGGTCTAGTGACCAGACCCAACCCAATTGGTTTGGTCATGGGTTGACCCAATTAGTTGTAGTCAGGTGACCAGACCCAACCCAATCGGATTTTAACTTGGTTTGAACTTTTATGATTTTTTGGATTTTTTTTCTTTTAGGCTTTTTGATGCATGTGAAGTGAAAATGGCCTGATCCAACCTGCACAGTTTGAACTTCTATGATTTGTTTGGCTACATGACGACTTTCCCTTTTGCGTCTTTTGAGACATTTTCATGCATATTTTGTATGCTTAAGGTTTGAACTTTTTCCATGCTTATGCAGCAGAATGGCAATGAAGGGAATAGGGATGGGCACAGGAAGGGATGAAAATGAAGTAAATTGGTCGGAATTTACTTATGTAATATAGCCAGAATCCTAATGTAGCCAGAGCAACAGTACTGCCAAAGCCAAACTGCCCTATGGATAATGGGAGCAGCGATTTTCACGCTTGGTACACTTGCCTCTGACTCCAGCACCCTTGATAAGCCAGATTCCTATTGTGCGCCTCACTCATGTCTACGGTGAAGCCAATTCGTGTGCATATATATATATATATATGAAACTAGTACTTATCAATCTTACTTTTTAAATATTATGAGAAAAATCATTTCAAAATTACGTTGTTTTAATAAATTTTTATTGAAAAAAACTAAATTACCATATTTTTAAATCATGTATTAAGATGATTTTTATCTTTTTTTTTTTAATTTTTTACAAGTAAGGTGAACAAGTATTAACCCTTATATATATATATAAGAAAGTTATTTAATAAAACAAAAAATTTAATTTTTTATTTTTATCATAAATTAAAATTTTTAAGTTAATAGATATCAATTTGATTAAGTTTTTGTTGATCCAACACGTGCTGATTATTTCCCAAAATTTGGAATCTCTATCTACATTTATTTTTTAAATCCAGCTGCCAATTATTTCCCAAATTTTGGAGTCCCTAACCACATTAATCTCTAGTTATATAAGCCCTTAGTTTTAAGCATATATTATTAGCCATTGGTATCTGATGTCCAGTATTGTTCCTTAGACCTTTAAATAGTAGTAGTCATTAGCTCATACAACGGGTGTACTTTTTTTTAAGGTGGAAATAAATTTATTTATTAATAATTAAAAAATACAAAAATTATAAGTTAATTTACAGGATCTAAGTACACTAAAAATATTATAAAATTTAACTTTAAAAATATATAGTATTTGGTTAAGCTTGTTATAATTAAAAAAAAATATTGATTAGATAAATATTATAGTTATTTCGGTAAATAAAAATATTATAGTTAAATTTAATTTTTAATCTAATAATAAAATTATAAGTCAACGTAAAAGTATTTTAAGGTAATATGGCGCGCCCTATAAAGCATCCTCAGCCACAAGTCCACCAACACTAAAAGATGAAAAAAGATAATTGTTGATATAATTTATTATTAAAAGTATTTTAAAATAACACAAGTTACGCAATGTCTATCAATCAATTTTATTATTTAAATAAAAAATATAAAATAATGATAAACTAACAAATCTACGTTCGGAACGATGAACCGTCACAGAAGGCGGCTTTGAATTTTCAAAAAAAGAAC